AATCATACAATGTGAACTTTTGTTTCAAACAACTTCTTCAGTTTTGTATGCTTGTTTGTTCGTTTAGAGAGATTTTTGCTAGAGGGTGTGTGCGCAGGCCAGAGAGACAAAGACAGAGAGACAGGAAGTGAGAAATCACCCCTGACCCCCCCACCGCCGGAGGATGGCCACATGCCAATCCCTTGTCCTAAATTCTCCTCTTCTCAAGACTTTGGGCATGCACACACACACACACCTGGTGTGAGTTTCAAGCCACCAGGTCTGGGACTCGAGCCACACTCGACTACATGGGAGTCCAGCAAAGTAACTATTATGCCATCTGCTAATTCTTGTATCTAGCTTCCTAGTAGAACATTTTTGAGGTGCAACTATGTTGTGGCATGTATATTTTTCATGGCTGAATCATATTCCATTGAATGGATATACCATATTGTGTTTATTCATTTATCAGTTTATAGACATTTGTGTTTTTTCCATCTTTTGGCTATTATGACAACTGCTGCTATGAACTTGAGTCCTTGTTACTAATGTAAATACTTTATTTCTGTAAAGCATTTTATAATCCTCAGCGATTTGCATACAATGTTTCAGTTGACCCTCTAAAAAGACCCATACTACTCATCTCAGGATTATTTCTGAGACACAAAAGATGTAAGTTTTAATGATATAATTCCAAGTCATACATTTACTAAATGGTAAGATCCAAGTCTTCCAACTCTTGCTTAGAGATTTGTACCCCACACACAAAGCCATCTAGTCCTTAACTCTGTCTTATTTTCACCTGGGGCTAACTTTCCTTGGGCAGGTGAGGCCATGTAAATTCATTTCATGTTCCAAACTCCATTAACAACTGTGATGACATTTTAAGCTCCTAAGGAGCAGGAGTTTTTGTTCATCATTGTAATTTAGCATCTAATACAGTGCCTATCCAGCAGCACAGAACTAATACTAAAAGAAAAAAAGTTGGAAAGAGAAGGAGGGAGAGAAAATAAGTAGGGAGAAGCAGGAATAGAGAAAAGTGGGAAAACTTAGTGCTTAGACTCACATTGTCATGCTCTGACTTTCTGAGTATCATGCCCCATCCTACTCAAATAGGAACATGTGATGAAGCCTTGGAGAAAGTCTAAAGAGCACACTTTAGTGGTCAAAAATGCTGTGGTCATATCCCCAATCAATAAAGTTCCTGCATAGCTGTAAGCTCTTTCCTTCTTCTGTTATAAAATAATTTCACTATCTGAAAACAAAAACGTACATGAAAACTAAAACCACACACATGCACATACACACAAAACCTTTATAGAAGGCATGATGAGCTCTGTTGTACTGCCGCCAAGGGCATATTGCTCAGTTCTTTTTCTCTATGTCTAGGAGAAGTTATGGCTCTAAATGCATCATTCTTGTAGTTAGAAAAGTCCTGGATTTATTTATGATCTTATACAAAAAGGCATCTATCTAAGACACTGGACCAAGTGCTAGAAGATGATTCTGACCCTAAATCCACCCAGAATCATAAAATCTCAGAAGTATATCTAATTCAGCTCCTCAATGATTTTCTTATCTGGAATATGGAAGTGCAGAAAATGATATTTACCCCAACCCCCTTGGGTTAAGTGGACAGCTGCTCACAGTACAAGCAATGGACATGGGACGGGGCCCGATAGCTGAGAAAGATGGGAAATTTTTGTTTTGTTTTTGGTAAACAAAGGAAATAAAAATCCAACCAACAAACTATAGCAACTAGCTGGAGGCTGTTACCCTATGATAAAACTTAGTGCTATTTTCTTCTGTTTTCTGTTGAAACCATCCATCTTAAAGTCACATAACTCTCATAATGATTATTAGCTGACATAACTATCTTGCTAGTAAGTACCAGACCCACTCCTCTAAACCAGGTCTTCTGATTAGGTCCATTGTTCTCTAACTATTTAAGTTCTTACATTTGGGAAGACAACAGACTCAGCTGACAAACTTGTGTAAATACAAATCCTCAAGAGTGGACTCATGGAATCTGCATTTTTTTCTTTTTTTTTAGAGGTTTTTACTATAGGGCATGTGCGCTTGCGAGAAAGACAGAGAGAGACAGAGAGACAGAAAGCAAGAAATCACCCCCCAGGGGGGATAGCCACACTGCAATCCCTTCTCCTCTCTCCTCTCAGGATCCTGGGCACGCACGCACACACGCCTGGCATGAGTTTAAGCCACCCAGTCTGGGACTCGAACCGCAGTCTATTACATGGGAGTCCAGCGACATCGCCATTATGCTAACTGCTGGTCCCGAATCTGTATTTTTGTAAACTCCCCATTTCTCCAGGAGAGCCAGCCTTCGGATTCACAATCAGGATCAGCTGCAGAGTTGACAAACATCCCACCACAGCTCTCTAGAGAGCTTGAAGTTGACCAAGTGCTACCACTTGCCCATAGGTTGTTTGAACACAGGCTATCCTTCTTCCTATAGGAGAAATTGGGCTTGCCTCTACACCTGAGCAAGCCCTAAAATATAGAACATCTGACCTTTACAACCCATCCGGAGAACTGACCATCTCTCCAAAGAAACATTTCCTGGTCAAACCACCATCCTACTGTCTGTCTGCCTCCACCCAACTGCCCACCAAAACTTCATGCTAGCCATTCCCATAAAAATATTTTTTCTGTTTGGTTTTGAAATTTCACAGATCCTGAGATCAGAGAGTTCTCCCTTTTGAAAAAGTTTCTTTGAATAAATCTCTTTGAATAAGTTTCTCCTTATCTAAGTCCACATTTGTTTTTATTTGAAAAAGATTTTAGCCACAGATAGAGCCTCAAGCTTCAGTGAACCTTCTCCACAGAGGAAAAGATCTGGCAACCCCAGTTTGAGTTCTTTTTGTGCACACAGCAAACTGACTGGGGATTTTACCACTTGGACAGCCTTGGGGTGCCATCACAAGCTGAAACATGTTTGTCTATAGCTCACTGCAGACCTTTCTGATATGAGCTTCATGACTTAATTCATGACATTTGAACATCAGGCCTTTGGGGACCCTAGATGAAAGGTTTTCTATGTTTCCAGTTTTTCTCAAAACTCAAAGAAGTGAAAGCATCTGCCATAAAATATTTCTCTTGAGATGTACCCAGCATCCACACGTCCTCAGGAAATGTTTTGCTAAGTTGCCAAGGCAACTCCTGTCAAAGCAATCTTGAAAACTGACTTCTTCCCTCCCAGGAGCTACCCTCTTTGGCCTTTGCAACTATTCAAGGTTGAGACATGCACTTTTCATAAACTGTGACTAAGCAAAGTCTAAATAGTGCTAGGCTACCTCCTCAACCCTCCACTTCCCAGCTCAACACTTGGCCTTTGCTTCACAGAACTCTTGCCAAAAAATTACCCAGGCTCTTAAGATGCAAATTTTATAGGAAGAGGAGAGTGCCAAAGAACAAAATTTAAAAAAAAAACTTTTCTCTAAATGTAAAAGCTGTACCCATCAAAGTTAGAAAGCATTAGACTGTTTCCAGTCTAGAGCTTAAAATGATTTCATTTGATTGTAGTTTCTATTAATAATACAATAATGTCCTATTATAAAACTCTATGATTATGTCAGCTTTGTATTTAGACAAGAGAATAAAATAAATCTTTTTAAATTTATTTTATACGTTCAACCACTGTATATTATTGCACTTTGTAAAATGATTCCCTTTCTCTCACACTTCTCCATTTCCCAGCCTCCTCCCACACTGTCTCTAGTATCCACAATTGTTCCCCATGCTTTTATCTTTTCCAATCTTTCAGTTTCTGCCATAGAGTGTGTATATATTAAGTGGGGACATACAATGTCTCTCTTTCATAGTCTGGTTTGCTTTGCCTAGCAGCAAATCTTCCATGTTCATCCTCTTTCCATCAAATGCCAGAGTCTCATTGTGTTTTATAGCTGAGTAGTAATCCGTGGTATATATGTGCCACACTTTTTCAATCCATTTATCTACTCATGGACATCTGGATTTGTATCATGTCTTAGCCATTGTGAATAGTGCTGCAATAATCATAGATGTGCAAGTACTTTTCTGATTGAGCATTCTCATATCCTCTGGGTAGATACCCAGGAGTGGAATCACTGGATCATATGGTAGTTCTATTTGTAGGTCTTTGAGGAACCTCCACATTGTTCTCCACAGTGGCTGTACTAATTTACACTCTCACCAACAGTGCAAGAGAGATCCATTTTTACCACAACCTTGCCAGTTCTTACCTTTTAAAAATCTTAGCCATTCTGACTGGTAATTCCTTTTTATTATTATTATGACTATCACTGAAAATGTTGATCTCAACAACATATAGGGATACAAGCACAGCTCTGAAAACTCCATAGAATGGCTTTCTGAGTAGGTAATGCCTTCTTGTGTTCCTATTCCCCCTAGGAGACTCAAAAGAGATACCAATAAATTAAGAGAGGGGCCAGCAGGTGGTGTGGTGGATAAGGGCACTGGATTCCCACATGGCCAACCATGGTTCAAGTCCTGGACCTGGTAGCTTGCTGGTGGCTTGCTTTATCACTTTCTCTCTCTCTCTCTCTCTCACTTTCCCTTTCTCTCTCTCTCTCTCTCTCTCTCTCATCAAATAAAGAAAAAAAATAACAATAACAAATGGAAATAAATAAATAATTCTTTTAAAAAAAAAGACAAGGTAGAAATCACTTTCCATTTGCTTAAAAAAAAAAGAGAGATACCAATAAATTAATAGAAAGTAGCATGTGTTAACAGGAGGAAAAACCCAAGTTGAAATGCCTGAGTTTAAATTCCAGATTAAACGGATTGACTAAAGGATATAGAAACACAGTAAATGGGTGTAAATACCAGATATAGTGTGGGTGAAAGAGTAGGGTCTGAGGAAGGGCATTTAGAAAAAAAATAGGGAAGCAAAACATTAATGTGACAAGGAAATGTGGTATTATCTGTTGAAGATATTCTCTAGTTTTATCAACTGGACCAGGGAGAAATGTTCACATGTTGAAATATTCACATTATCCCTTTCCCCTGGCTGGCAGCGCGGAGGCCGCAGGATGCCTGGAGTTCCTGTAAAAGACGTGAACCAGCAGGAGTTCATCAGAGCTCTGGCAGCCTTTCTCAAAAAGTCCAGAAAACTGGGAACCAGCAGTTAGCGTAATGGCTATGTTGCTGGACTCCCACGTAGTCGACCGCGGTTCGTGTCCCGGACCCGGTGGCTTAAATCTCACGCCGGGCGCGTGTGCGTGCGTGCCCAAGATCCCGAGAGGAGAATGGAGGAGAAGGGATTGCGGCGTGACCGTCCCCCCTGGGGGGTGATTTCTCGCTTTCTGTCTCTATGTCTCTCTCTGTCTGTCTGGCGAGCGCACGCGCCCTACAGTGAAAATCTCTCCAAAAAAAAAAAAAAAAAAAAAAAAGTCCAGAAAACTGAAAGTCCCTGAATGGGTGGACACTGTCAAGCTGGCCAAGCATAAAGAACTTACTTCCTACGATGAGAACTGGTTTTACACACGAGCTGCTTCCACAGCACAGCACCTGTACCTCTGGGGTGGTGCTGGGGTTGGCTCCATGGCCAAGATCTTTGGGGGAAGGCAGAGAAACGGGGTCATGCCAAGCCACTTCAGCCAAGGCTGCAAGAGTGTGGTCCTCCGAGTCCTTCAAGCCCTGGAGGGGCTAAAAATGGTGGAAAAGGACCAAGATGGGGGCCGCAAACTGACATCTCAGGGACAGAGAGATCTGGACAGAATCGCCAGGTAGGTAGCAGCTGCCAACAAGAAGCATTAGGACAGATGATGCTGGGTTAATAAATTGCCTCATTCATGTAAAAAATGTATATATTAACTTTGTAAGCTAAATAACGTGACTGAATGTATAAAAGAAAATGGAACAAAAAAAGTAAGTAAATTTTAAAAAAAAAAGTGAGATAAATAAATAAATTCCAGCTTAACCACTGTCTAAGGAAAATCTGGTCTTAGATAAGTCACTAAATCACTCCAAGCCTCTATTTCTCACTATGAAAGTAGACACAAATAACATACAATTCATCCTACCTCATTTGGTTGAAAAGATGAGTGAATTTGAAGCATTTTCAAATAGTAAAGTGTTTTAGAAAAGCAAAGCAATAAATCCTAAAGAGCCATCATTCTTGCCTTCAAATTACCCCCACATGATTACTAGGTACTCTATTTTATTCCAAAGAAAAAATTGTCACACTGGTAATACATCCAAAACCCTCATGAATACTTTTGTCAAAAAGATGAGTATACAGGTTAGTGTTGGCACCTTTGCAAATATCAATGGTTATAATGTACACAAATCTAAGAAGAGTCTTCAAAAACGTTTACCATAAATTTGTGTATAACACACACCTGTCTGTTGCCTCATGTTAGTTCTTTTCAGTAGCACACAACCTACGTCTCACTATGATTGGTCATATACACACAGAATTTTCGCCTTTCTAATAGACCAGAACCTTGCAATGTTTTAACAACCAAATCTTATCATAATATCTCAGTTATATTTGTATCTCCTTATATCGAACATGTACTGGAGAATGAGTGCATGATTACCATTTTATAGAGAAGAAAACAGAGGCATTAAACAAATCAGTCAAAAGACCTTTTACGTATCTGCTACAGTTCTCTAGTTCTGAGCCCCAAAAAGAAATCAAGTCTCTACATTATGTGAATTTACTTGGAGTGATAAAGAAAGCTATTGTGGAGGGCTGGATATCAGAGCTGAGGCAAAAACAAACACAAACACAAACACAAACTTCAACACAGACGTTTGAAAACAGTTGAAAGCCAGTGTACCTGGGTCCTTTTCACCAGATCACACTCATCTCCCGTGGTGTTCTAAATGTAGCTTTGAGATTAGCAGCAGCAACAGCAGACCTGCACATTGTCTAGGCCTTCCCCAGACCTACTGAATCAGAAACTGACACGTGTAGGTTTGAGAACAGCTGCTTACTTCCTGGTAAGTGGATAATGCATGACCTTCCTGGCTTTATGACTGCCCCCTAGTGCCTGAAATGAGCCTGGTTTCAATACCAAAGTCTTTGACACTTTTTATAATCTTCATTAAAAAAAATGAAAGTAAACAACACAGACAAATATTGGGTTATTGGGAAAGTCATGAGGTATTTTTCCATGCAAACAAATAAACAGAAGACACCTGTGATTCCATGTCCCAGGCTAACCAGCCAGGACCACTGATTACACAGCTCCATAGCTGTGTTTCATACTTTACATAATTAGTTATGCAGCACAGTGGTTTGACCACTCTTTGTATTGTTGTAAATATCTTCCTCATATATCTTCTGCACAAAATCAGTGTTACATATCATTTTAGAACCGTTTTAAATTAAGTTATATGACTACGAATACTTCGTTTTTAAGTATACTTTTATTTCAATGAGCCAGCAAGAGATAGGGACCACCAACAGGGTCTTGCCATGCCACAGTTATCTCCCCACCCAGCCTTCTGGCCAGCCAGAATGACCTAGAGATTTAAGAATGCTGGGTGATTAGGCCAAACACCTGGGCTAGTTCCTGTCTAATGCTCATGAAGAATTAGAAACACTACAGAGAAGACAGCAGAGTTAATTGAAGAAGCAATACTTCCAACACCCAGGAAGAGAAGAGGGGTCTGAGCAAGTTTGTCACAGGTCTTGAATTGCTCCTGCTAAGTATCTGCTCAAAACCCAGAGAAACATGTCAAAGCCTAGATTTATTTATCAGGATTATTATAGAAAAATAACTGGTATAGGACTGAATTTTCCCTCTCCAGACTCAACTGAAGGACTAATTACAGCAGGAGTCATCTCTAGCGCCCCAGGATAAATAGGTAGACTCTGGGCAGTCTTTTAAGGTCTAGTAGCTGGGAGTCTTTAGTTCTAATCTCATATGAGCCTGGGGAGAAGTGTGAATTAAGGTGGAACAAAGGGTCCCCATCTCTCTCAAGGCATAAAAATACTGTATGTATGGAATCTTCCTTCATCTTCCCAGGTATATTACAAAGAGATCTAATCATTGGACAGTACTATAGTTAATATTGCCCTCTGGTAGCCAGGCTTCCCCATCATTTTATTGTGGCCAGGCCTACGTGTAAAAGAAAATCAGGCCATTCTCAGCGTTTGAGGATTAAAGGAGTCTCAGTGTTTCAGAACAGTCTAGGAGTCTCTTCACTCTGTGCAATTGAGAGTATGTTACCCATCTATAAAAAGAGAGGGAAAAGCGCCCTTTTATTTCTCATTTTGTTTTCTTAGCTATGGATACAGTTCCTGGAAGGAAAGAGACAAAGTGTCCTTTAATCTCTGTTTTCCCTCCTTAGACTAAGAGCTTTCTCCTAGTTCTTCTAAGAGAAAAAGATAAGTCACTAATTTGTCCTGGGACTAGAGAAGGCTGCAATTCAATAAATGCCTCCACAGAGCTAGCATATATGATTGGGCTTCTGAGTAACACACTAAGGCTAGGCAAAAGGAGTTGGGGAGGGAAATTTGAATATCTTTTACCTGTTCCATATAGACTAATTTGTACCAGCTGCAAGTAGAAGGAGAAAGAATCTCTAAGTTTCCTTAGGACAGAGAGGGACATGTCAGAGCATCAATCGAAGAGCAAATTGGAAACAAATTGGAAAGCTACTGGAGAGATTCTGTGTCCCAAGTGATAGAAAAGAGCCATGGCAAATTTATGGGATTGTCCTGGCTTAGGATCATCAGTCATGGAAACCAACTGTTACCCTGGAGGGAAACACTTCCTTCCAATGATGAGAGAAAAGTCTGAAGAAAGGAAACAGAGGAGTCTGCTCTGACACCTGGATGGGCTGTCGGGGATGGCTTCAGATTTTCAGGAGTATCCCTAGTATGCACCATCAGTTGCCCCAAGAATACTCACCTTCCCACATGACAGTTAAGACTCCAGAAGGGAAACCAAGTCACAAAACAGCAGACATTCCCATCACCAGGAATGGGGATTGACTGAATGCTTATTGACAAACCTGTCATCTGAGATTTTTAAGACACAGTCACCCTATGGGCTTGTAATTAGAATGACAGATGCCTGGTATTTGCATTTGGTAGATTTTAATTAGGAACAAAAGTATCCCAGAAAAAAAAAAAAAAGGAAAAAAATGTCTACTTTTCTTAGCTCTCCATTGAATTGCAAGAACTCCCAGGTTTCAGCACCAAATCTGATGGGAGTCTGTCAGGATGATGAAGACCAACACCCGTGTTGGTTCTTGTCCACTGCTCATGAAGAATTAGAAACATGAACAAATGGAGAAGATAGCAAGTAGAGTTTAAAAGAAGGAGGAAAAGCTTCCAACACTATAGAAGGAAGAACGTCTGGGAGGGTTGCCGCAGGAGGGCTAAAACAGCCTAGTTCTATAGAATCCTGACAAGGAAGAAAAACCTTTTCTCTGAAATGGTTATCATCCCATGTCCTGGAACTTAAGACATGGTGGGAGTTTTGAGTTACTCTTAGGCCCTGGAAGGGGCCAGATAGTTTGTTTTAGTTAATTATGGAGTTCCCTATCTTTGTGCTCTGGTTTTTGTCTGATGTTAGCCCAGCAACAGGGAGTCATAAATACCTCTGAGACTTGTAATGGGACCATAGTGAACATTGACTAGACCATGAAAGCAAAATCACAGTACCTCCATTATGAGAAGCCCCTCCCTTACCTACCTACAAGTGGTGTCTAACTCCTAATTCACTAGGAACCAAACACAAGCCCTTCCTGTGTGATTCCTACAGCACTGTGGCTGGGCCAGTCTGAATATTTCTAATATGTGGTGTTATTTTGAATAACAGCATGATGGTCATTTTAGTGGATTAATGAACTAGATCCTATATTGCTTGATATTTTGGTTATTTACAGTTTGGAGCCCTTAAAAATATTCTAATAAAGAACTTGTAGCAATTTCTTTGTTCACACTCGTGGTTATTACTATGTGATAAATTCTGAGCAGAGAAGAGGAAGATTTGCTCTTTGTTTGCAGTGGCGTAATTCTATTCTTCCTGGTCACAGGGACTAGTCTGTACATATTTAAGCTTTTCTCAGTTACCTACTTATGTTTGTTTAAATAAATAGGTTAGACTTTTACTGTTGTATTAAAACTGAAGCAATCTAGCTCAACAAAGAATCAGTAAGAAAACACACGGATTTGTCTGCACGCTGCCCATGTTAAAGAGAACTGAAATCCTAGCACCAGCACAAAGTAGTTTTTTTGCAGACAAAAGAGCCCTGTTGGTTCAGCATTCGTAGCAATTAGCCACATGCTTCCTGGAATCAGAACTGCTCCTGTATAGCTTTGCTGAAGCTAGTTAGCCAAATTGACTTGTATCAGCTGAATCACACAAGAGACTCCTCTCCTCCCGCTCCCCTAATCCTGATGATCTTTGGTCATTGACTTTCAACTACATGCTGGTACCTGGAATCCTTCGGTGGCTCCTTTTTTCCTTCTACCTGTGACTAAATGGACCTTTAATCAATTTGCACCATGTAGAAGCAAAGTCACCCTGAAAGGGATGGTGTTTCTGTGTGCTTAGCACCAACGGATGTCTACTAGAGCCTCCCCAGAATGTGGGTCCCTAATGGAAGCATGAGAGGCATTTCATAACCCAGAAACACTGAGATTACAAGCTTCAGTGCCTGCGTTTGACAGGCAGGGGAAATCCGCATGTGGGTACAGCATGAGTCTCCTCTTGGAGCTCTGCAGTCATTTGGCTGAAGGCTCAGAGCCCTCTCCAATGCACCAG